TAAGTTTGGGGAAAGTATGTCAATGAGTGTGGGAGCTCAAACAGGAGATTAGCTCATTTTTGGAGCTACTTGAGAAAGCTGACGACTTTCCTGAGCTGAGTGACACAGATTGGCTTTGTCATTTAGCTTTTGCTGGGGACATACTGACACATATGAATGAGCTGAACGTGAAGCTACAAGGGAAAGATCAGTTTGTGCACAAAATGTTCACAAACGTCAGAGCCTTCAAAACGAAGCTAGCTTTATTCTCAAAGCAAATGTCAAATAAGTCATCTGCTCATTTCCCCAAACTGGCTACGCTGAAGGAGGCCCCTCGACATGTGAAAAAATACAGGAAATCACTGGACAACTTGCACGGAGATTTTGGAAAAACTGACAAGTCACTTCAGCTGGTGTCATGTCCCTTCACACAAGACCCTGAAACGGCGCCACAGGAGTTGCAGTTGGAACTGATTGATCTCCAATGTGACACCGTCTTAAAGGAGAAGTTCAACTCTCTTAAACTGGATGAGTTTTATGCTTCATTAAGTGCAGTCAAATTTCCAAACATCCAGAAGATGACACAGAGGATGCTGGTGTTGTTTGGCTCTACCTATGTGTGTGGACAGACTTTTAGAGTGATGAACACCAACAAAGCACCCCACAGATCCCAGTTGAGTGATGAACACCTCAGATCTGTTCTGAGAATTGCCACAACAAAACTAACACCAGACTTCGATGCACTGGCAAAAAAAGGGTGATCAACAACACTGTTCCCACTAAAAGTGAATGTAAGTATTAACACTGTAATGCCTTTTATATGTTTAGGTTTGATATGTATGCATCTGGTGCTAGCCCGGCCCGTCTGTCAAATTTTAAAAGTCAATATGGCCCCTGAGCCAAAAAGTTTGCCCACCCCTGCTCCATACCTTACCTTGTAAAGTGTCCTGAGTTGACGACTTTTGTTGCGATTTGGCGCTATACAAATAAAATTTGATTTGATTTGAACTACAAATATGTCGATGTCCCTAGGAGAGAGTCAGTGTATACGAACTACAAATATGTCGATGTCCCTAGGTTACATGTGTAACCTATATGAGAGGCGCTCAGGCGTGTATTGACAGCATATGAAAACAAAATGCTATACAACTAAGACAATTTTGTGTGCAGTTACCCTTCAGAACTTAAGATTAGAATCTTTACATGGCACACAGTACACTGTTTTTCTGCTAACTATCAACAACAACTAACCCAGACTGGGCCTGACTCAGTCCAACTGGGTCCTCAACCGTTGTGTCCAAATACCACTCATATTCAGCACAACAGTTGAATCACGTAGTAGCGAAGTGTAGTCTGTGATAGATGTTTGCAATGAACAGTTTGGGTATTAAGGGAATAAGTTTAACTAAGTTTGTTTTTTGTTTCCAACCTGATCTTTTGACTGTTTGAGCTGTGAGATTTCTTTTTAGCGATCTCACCATTTTAACTTACCTTCTGTGATCTCATCCTCCAACACTGTTTGGGTTCCAGCTAAAGAGAAATGCAGACATGTTACTTTAGTAGAAATGTATCCACAAAGACACGTCAAGATGGAAACATAGCAGGTCTTAATATATTCTGAATTGAACAGACTATGTGAACTTTCCCCCAGATTTTCACACTTCAGCTCTACAACCTATATCCTCTACTTAAACTGGTCCTATTGTTAGGTTCATAAGTAGCCCATATTTTGCACATCTACATGGACTTTACAAGACAAACTATTAGTTTCAAACTTACATGCTTTCATAAATTATTTATTACATTTGGTAAGACTTTATTCATTCTGGGATAGAAATGAAGCTGCTTTGCTTCTACACCTCTCTGTGTTTGCGCCATCTGACCTGTTGCTTAACTGATTTATGGCCACCAAATATCCAGAGCCAAAAAATTGCCAATCGGGACAGCCCTATATTTGAGACATTGCTTGTGGGGACCCTAAATCAAAAGCCCACTCACACTGTGGGGACTCACCTTGAATTTCAAAGTTACGAGGAAGGCAAGCTGTAGTTATGATTAAGATAAGGGCAAGTCATCATAAAGTCCCAATAAGTGATAAAAACCAATATATGTGTGTGTGTTGTCATTACCAGAGAAGAGGCTGTGGACAGCCTGAGTGACATTGACTAATGGCAGCTCCAGACACTGGGCCAGACAGGCAAGGGCGTGGCCCTTGACGGTAGGTGATTCATCCATCTGTCGAGCAAACAGCAGGCTCTGAATCAGGAACTTGTGTGGCAGGAAGCAGGCAAGCTCGGGGTCCTGACACTCCTCTGGCCTCCCCGCTCTGGCTACTCCAGGAAAACCATCACCACGTCCACAGAGAACAGCCGCCACACCATCTACAGATGCCAGCACAACAGACTGAAAACACTGGGATTCCACATATAGTGACTGGTATAGCTACTGACTGCTAACATACAGTACAGT